AGAATGTGCACATCTTAGCAAGGCACTGAGAAGTGACACCTGTTAAGTTTTGTCTTTCAAACATGCTGCTGTGTTCCTACTATTTTTAGTATTTCCTGACATTTACTTTCATTCCCTAGTACATGTATTGTAATATTAAATGTTGTGTGTTGCATGCTTCAATTTATGCACTCCTACATATATACTTTATATACAATAAAAAGTTAAACCACACTCCAAGGAAAGCTCAAGACAGTCTGCTAACCTGCTTAAGGTTAACTCAGACTATTAAGTCAAACATGACAAAGTGTTTCAGCCAACAGAATATTCCCCATCTCCTCCTCATCTGTTAAACACTCCAGGCTCAGGCTGAGAATGTCATAGAAAATTCTACAGTGTTCCTAAACCTGTAAAGTGAAAGGACTCCCCCTTGCTAAATGAGAACCATCCTGCAGCTGGCTGGAATAGAAACAAGGCAGTTTACCCCCACAAACCACAGAGGAACACACACTTACACTTGGAAAGGGACTCGTTCTGTACGATTGTCCAGCCTTCGTCTGCAACCAGAATTATGGGCTGGATTCTCTTGTGATGGCGATAATGGAATCTGTCTGGAATTTCTTCTTTCAGATAAACCTTCATGTGGCTGTTGCAATTTTTGAGTAAGTTATACACATCTTCTTTGTCTGCCAAGGGAAATATTGCACATGAAACAGCTGGAAATTAACTCCTGTTTACTACAATTATCTGTCATTAAACCTAAGATCTGTTATTTCAAAATAATTATAAAAAAAACACATAGAAAATTATTTTTTCATGCCCTTTATGAAATGCTACATTGGTTGAGGTGAATTTCAAAATTTGCTTTCATTTTAAATCAGACACCTCCCAGATGTGGGTTTGGACCTACAACTCAACTTACTATCTGGGCTTGAAGGGAAAAATTCAAGCAGAGAAATCACGAGAAAGCAATCAACCCCTCAAGTAGTCAATATTTTATCCAATGCAATTTTTTTTTTCTTTTTTTACTGTATGAATCACTTTGTTCATTAGTCTGGCCACAGAGAGGCCAGCAATGTCATGATTTCAGACATGCCTGATGGGGACTCCTCTGAGATACAAAAATGGAATTCATGGTATGAAATCTTAGGTTTCACTCCCAAAAACAGAAGTGATAAAACAATCAAAGTTTGGACTAGATTCTTACTTGGAAATTTACACAATGACATTTTTTATTCTGAATAAACACATGGGTTTATTTCATGCTCAGTGTGAATTACATCTGCATAGACTAAGTGAGCAACAAGAGAGCAGCCAAAATAAGTACCTATCTACTTTATCAACCACCTGCACCAGGGTCATGCATATCAGCCACAGCAATTGGACAAGAAACTCTCCTTGTCCCACTGTTTGCCAAAACAAATTTCTAAATAAACCATCTTTAGCTTACTTAGTATGTCGAAGTTCTGCAACATGAACTCCATAGGTTTTGCAAAGGATAAGAACAGTCTAGGATACTGCATACTTTTTAGAGGCAAGATAAACAAGATTTAATTCTCAGTATATGCCTTAAAAAATAACCAAACCCAAACATACTCTGCCTTGGCAGCACTGCAGCAACTGGAGTCCTGTCTATCAGGGTGTAGTTATTGCGCCCGAGGCATTCATCCAGGACAATCAGCCTCTTTGCAGAACAGGAGGCCATTCCATGGTCACTTGTTATTATGACATTAACAGTGTCCCACAGACCCAATGCCTTCAGTTTGTTCATAAGGAAACCAACATGTTTATCCACTTCTTCCAGCACTTTGCTCATGTTCTGGGTGTCGTCTGGGCCGTACTTGTGCCCGCTTGCATCTGGTTCTTCCCAGTAGAGCACAGCAAAATTGACTAGTGGTTCAGAGCTGTTCAGCCATGCAACAATTCTCTCCACTCTCTCCTCAAACGTCACTGAGAAGTTGTACTTCATAAAGAAATGAGGGGTCGTGTTGTTGATTTTTACATCACTACCGGGCCACATGGCAGCAGCACTTGCTCCCTTTCCCTGTTGTTGATTTGTTACCCAAATTGGAGTTGCTTCATCCCACCAGAAGGGATCTGAATCGTTGAACTGTGAAAATTTTTTCTTGGCATCTGGATCATACATGTCATTAGCCACAATGCCATGGCTTTCCTCATACAAACCTGTCACTATGGTGTAATGGTTTGGGAAGGTCTTTGTGATAAAAGCATTTGTGACTTGTTTTACAAGCACACCATCCTCAATGAATTCCTGGAGATGAGGAAGTTTGTAGGTTTCCAAGTAATCAGCCCTGAAGCCATCAAAGGACACGAGAAGCAACCTGGGTACCGAGTCACCAGCTGAGCGAGCACAACAGAGAAGGATTCCAGTAAAAAATAACATCAACATCGAGTTCATTGTGGAAACTTTGAAGTGCTTCCAGCAGGTAATCAGATGCACCTGAGAAATTTAAACAGACAAGGCATGTAACCAAAACAATTCTACTGTGACCAGTTTAACTAGCTATACATTATATACATCTTCCTTCAAGAGGGCAATTCCAAAACACCCAGTCTAAGCAACCACTCAAGTCAACAGCGGATTTCCCTACTGACTTCAGGGGTTTCTCACATATTGTCAGAGTTTTTCATATATTAAAACAAATGAACAGTGAGATTTTTTCCACTGCAGATTAAAGGAAAGGAAGAAGAGTTTTCTTTTGATAAGGTATTCCACTGTTGTGTGTGTCCTATTACAATTCTACATCCTAAGACAGAAAATCAGTATTTTTCCTCATGTTCAAGCACAGGCACTTGAACAGTTCTGGACCCATATTTAAGAGTCCTCTGCAGCCCTAAATTCTTACTACACATCACTGTTCAGATCAGAAGCCTGTTTCCTACTATAATTGTAATTTTATTTTTTTAGTTTCCACCTTCTAGAGTTGCTGGAAGGCTTTTCAGCCTTTCGACATTCCCATTTACTCATTGCTTATTCCAAACACAGAACTGCCAGGAGTAACTTCTGCTTTCCTTCTAAGCTGCTCTACATCTACCGCAACTGCATTTAAACCTGTCCTTTATTTCCCACACTTTTCTCTCTATAAAAAAAATCAAAATTAATAACCTTAGCTATGTGGTAAGTATTTCTCAGCAAAGAATAATGACTATTACGAGTGCCAGGTATGATTTGTAAGCTTTTGCCCCCTCTTAATGTCTTATATGTGACTTAAGCACTTAGTTTAGGAAGGTTCATGTGGAGGCTCTATAGAATGATGCTCTCCGTCTTTAAGAGAAAGTGAAGCTCCAGGTCTTACAAAACCTTCTGCAATGTTGTTAGGGAGCGTATTTGCTTCTCAAGAAGAGCCCTATAACTAGAAATTTTCTCTTTATATTTCTTTTTTCCTTTATCTTCCTTTATGTGCAAACAAACTGTGATTCTAGAAGGCACAGCAGCCGTCTTCCCAACATTTTTAACATCAACCCTTTCCCGCAAACTCCTTAAAACGGCAGGTTTAATTTAAAGGTATAAGGCGCTTTAATGTCAGCTGCAGCTTTAGCAGTGACGAGAGTTCAAAGAACGGGAAGCCACCCCCCGCCCCCAAGAGTTAAAAATGCCTGCAGAAGATACAAAAGTTACAAGTGCTGTTTAAAACAGCATTCAGGCAACTCTTAACACAGAGCACTTGGAGGACAAAAAAACCCTTGTAAAGAAGAAAAAGGAGAAAAGAAATGGGAAGAGCAACGCAGCTGCCAATCACCGTTCGATGCTGTACGGTGCTTTAAAAAGCAGAACCAGTTTCCCACAGCGCAGGGAGACGCAAACCCGCAGCGTTCGCTCCGAAATGCTCCAAAGCGCTGTGGCACTACAAGCGCCACACACACAACAAGCATGTTACAACCAAAAATTAACTCTACCCCACACAAACCCAGCAAAACAGCCCAGCCGTGCCAGACCACCGGCACTAGACCACCTGCTCCCGAACCTCCCGACCAGGTTTTGGGCTTGCGCGGCTCGGTCAGAACGAAGGCTGTTCCGCCTGCAAAGCGCACACACGCGGCACCGCCGACCAACCGGGCGCTCCGGGTCGGTTTCCCCGCGCCTGTCCCTTATCCGCACTCAGACCGAGCTCACCGCCCCCATAGCTTCCCGCCGAGGGACACCCCCGTCCCGTCCCCACCAGGGCCCCACCGTGAGGTCCCGCTCCGGCTCCGCTCGGCCCGGGACGCGCGGGCGGCACCGGAGGTGACCGGAGGTGACCGGGGGCAGCAAGGGGGGGGAAGGGGGTGCNCTCTTCGGTGAGCGCGGCCTCCGCCCGCTGTGATTGGCTGCGGGCCCGCTGGCGGGAGATCCGATTGGCTGCGGTGCGGGGGCGTGGCTGGGATGAATGGGGCGTGGCTGGGATGAACGGGGCGGGGAGCGGCAAGTGAGGGGCGGGCGGTGTGAGGGGTTGTGAGGAGGCCGTGAGGAGGCCGTGAGGGACGTATGGGGGCAGTGGGGATTGTTTCAAAGCCACAGCGTCAATTCGATGGAAAAGACCTCTGCGATCATCGAGTTCAACCTATGGCCGACGACCACATTGTCAACTAGACTATGTCTATCAGTGCCATGGCCAGTCTTTCCTTAAACAGCTCCCGGTGTTTTCCTTAAACACCACGTCCAGGGATGGTGACTCCACCGCTTCCCTCAGCAGCCCATTCTAATGTCTAACCACCCTTTTTGTGAAGAAATTATTCTTGATGTCCGACTAAAAACCTCCCGTGGTGCAACCTGAGACTATGGCCTCTTGTCCTGTCCTTGTTCCCTGGGAGCAGAGCCCGACCCCACCCGGCTGTCCCCTCCTGTCAGGGAGTTGTGCAGAGCCAGAAGGTCCCTCCTGAGCCTCCTTTTCTCCAGGCTGAGCTTCCCCAGCTCCTCCCTCAGCTGCTCCTCATCAGAGCTGTGCTCCCCAGCTCTGTTCCCTTCTCTGGCCATGCTCCAGCCCCTCAGTGTCCCTCCTGGACTGAGGCACCCAGAACTGGACACAGCTCTCGAGTGACCTCAGCACTGCCCTGCTGCCACACACCGGGATGAAGGGGGTAGAGCTGAGGGGAGCCATGGGGGCTGTGGGATGAAGCCCTCCCAAGCAGAGCAATTTGGTGTTTTCAGGGAGCTCAGGGGTTTGTGAGGGATGTGTTGTACCTCCAGACCGGGATGCAGCTGACTTCGGTGCTTTTTGCTGGGCTTCCTATTGTTGCAGAAGGGCCCCGTGAGGTGAGGCTGTGATGGGACACGTCCTTGGGAGTGTCCCTGTGTTTTCCCAGCACACCTATAACCTTCCTCCTGCCTCCTTTGCAGGTGCCCGGCAGCCCCAGGCTGTCACCTTTTCGAGGCAGTGATGCTTTGTCAGCATGACTCCTCCATGACTCCATCTCCCTTTTGGTCACACAGCTCTGTAAGCTGGCTGTTCATATTCTTCCACACACATCGCCTTTTTGTGGTCTCTTGAGGAAAAAAATAAAATAAATTACCCTAAAACTCAGAATAAAATGGTCATGTGCTGTTGAATGTACTCTTGAGTACCACTGCAGCAGTGAGTGGTATAATGAGTTGAGATCTGTTTTGGGTCCTGGTGTAAGTTTGTTTCATAAATTAAGGCAAATAGTTTACATTCCCATGGTTTTCCTTTTTATTATGAGAAAGGATTAATAATTCTGCAAAACCTGTTAAGTTACTGGTGTTGAAAAACAATGAGATCAGCTCTATGTAAATAGACAAATGAAGCATTCTTTAATAGCACAGAGCACAAATCATTATTTTAAAATTCATCCTAAAAACAGAAAAATACACTCTTATGGCTTCATAACTGACTGAAGCAGATCTGAATTTCATTCTGTGTACCCTGCTAGATGTTTATTCTGCACTTGGTGTAGATTTCAGCTTGTTTCATACTAATGGCTTTCACATATGTATGAGTTAGGCAGGTTTTGCTACCTGTATGTGCCAGCTGTAGAATGGCTCTAAAATGTGGTACAATAGGCTGAATAAAGTGGCACGCCCCTGATTCACCTTCATTTATGAAATGTAGCAGGTGTGGCAAAACACAGGCCTGTAAAAGAGGAAAAAAACCATCTCCAGGTGAGCTAGATAAGAATTCTTGCAGCTACTCACATGTTATGTGTCAAGTTCAAGTCAAGGTCCTTGGGTGTTTTTTTTTTCTCTGAGTCTCTTTTTGGTTATACAAATTCACCTTTGTGAATATGCACATGACATCTGATCATGTGGAGGAGAGGTATGTGTCCTTTATAAATTGCTTTGTTGTATTGCCTTAAAAATATTTGTTACTCAGAATGAACTAGAGCTCCAGGGAATGTGTAACAGAGCAAGTTCAATATTTTAACCAATTTCATTAATTTACAATTGAATTCTTGTTAAAAACTTTATGCACAGATGTAGACAACTTTTAAGCACTGAGGCTCTTTTGCTAGCCTACTTTTGCCGCATACTCATTCACTTATTCACTAAAAGGTGTGAGTAATCTCTTGTTTACCCTTGCCCATGTGCTTTGAAAACCATTTGCAGTATTCACTTATTCACGAGCCCAGCCTAATGTGGTGTGCCCAGTTTGACACATCATACAGGCAGTAGTACACCACAGCAGCTCTGAACTAGTCTAGCCAATATGTATCTAATGAGTGTAATACAGCTTTTGGTTCCATTTACAGTGCTTGGCTACAAGAAATGGGTGAGTTATATGTATGCTTACATTAAGAGGAGTAAAACTGGTCAATATACATTTCATGAAACCATAAAAGAGTAACAGCTGTTAAACTTTATTAGACCTTAAGCTTTTAGTGCCCATTTAATCCAAAGCATTGCCTGTGTATGGAGGCTATAAACAAAAAGAGCTCTTAACCTTGCTGTTTCTCAAACTGTGTGGAAGGAGATCCCTAAGGCTGCATGATAGGGTGATACAGAGGACTGTAGTGTCTCTGCTTCCTTTATTTCAGTTACCAGAGCCTCCACTGAAAACAGGCTTGAAATTGGGTTGCTGAGCTTTTCAAGGGTGCTTAGTTTCAGAGATAAACAAGGTTGTTGAAATGATGCCAAATTTTAAAGGCAAACAAAAATGTTTTTCTTGAAGCAGTTAGGTAGATAAAAGTTGGTATTTCTTAGGCTCTCAGGTATTCCAATGGAGTTTCTGACCATGGACTTAAAGATCAAGCCAAGTAAAATTTTAAAAATGAACTGGAAGACCAGGAATAAAGGGCTTTGAATCATCCAAATAGGGAATAATTAGGCTCTGCAGCAGGTAAAGCAGGTTTTCTAATGTGTGTTGACAATGACTCCTGGTATTTTTAACAACTAAAAGCTGTTGATAACAGCTGATGAGAATTGAGTGTCCTGTGCAAAATGGTTTTCTATTTGTCTGCTTCCCAGTGGAGAAATGTCTCTTATATGCAAAGTGAAATTTCTAGATGGGTTTGCTTTAAAGATGTTTTTTATGCAACCAGCAGCAAAGGAAATCTGGGTGAAGGTGAATCATCATTACTACAGGGGGGTCCTGGATTCATGAACCAGTCCCTCAAGACTGAAGAATCCAGATCAGTTTTAGCAGAACAACAGATGGATATCTGGATGCCTGTTTCAAGGATGTGCTGACTCCTGTGTGAAATGTGTCATCCTCAACATCTACCAAACCACTGTCTACTGAAATAATTCTTTGGTGTGTTTGTTTTCCTTACTGCAGTAGAAATAGATACAAATAAAAGAACAAAATGTAGGATAAATTTTTGTCCTTGTACTGTTTAGTGCAGGATTGGCAGTGGATAGAGGATTATTGTTGATGAACTGTGTAGAGATGAGGTGCTGCTAACAACAAAAATAAAAGCTGAGTCTGGAAATGGTGCAAGAGTTTGTTTGTGGTTGATTTCATCCAGGCATTGAGTGTGGCCAGGATTGAAAACAAAGTGGTATGAATTTATTGCAAGTATCTTTTAATATGTCTCTAAACCATGACCAGTCTGTCTCCCAGAGCCCACACTGTAGTTTTGATAATGTCCTTGAACTGCATGTTGCAAAGCTTTGGAAATTTTGGAGCTTTTGAAGGAAAAAAGTTGTTGGTGGGTTTTTTTGTTTGTTTGTTTTTTGGTAAAACCAACATCCTGAATGGCCAGGAACATTCATGATTTTGCATTGAGTGGACTTAAGTGTAAATGAAGGGTCTGATCCAGGATGCTAAGATCCTTCAGTTTCTGAGGGACAGTCAACTTTGTTTATCATAATTCAGTTTCAGGTTTGGCTGTTTCCAAGAACTCTCAGTGTTTAAATATTCAGAGGTTTTTTTTTGCATGTCTTCTGTCTCAAAAAAGATACTTTAGAGCAAGCAACTGAAGGACCTCAATTTCTTTAGCTTATGAGGAATGATTTACAGGCTCCTTGCTTAAAGTGTGCAAGTATCTTCATCGAGGACAAATAAAACTGAAGGACTCCTTTAGTAAACCATTATAATTATAGGAATATCCAACTGGAAATGACCAGAGGAATTCCAGTAGAAGCAGATTGTTGTTTCTAAGCAGGGCTGTGAACCAATGAAACTACTTGTGGCACTGATGGATGGGTTGAAGTTTACAATATTATGGAATGTCTAGAATATGTGCAAATTATTGCTTCAATAAAGGTGTACCCAGGTAGAACTCTTGGGAATCTGTACTAAATAGTGTAATATGGGGTTTTGCCTCTGATTCTTAATCTCTGAGAATATGTGAAGTATTCTGTCAAGATATTCTTGTTACTCTTCATTCTTGCCACCCTTCTCTTCCGCTCTGGAGGTGAGGGATAACTGACTAGAAATTCAGGAATTTCTTTATAAGTCATTCTGCTTGTCATTTTAAAATTGGTGCAAGGTAGAGGTGCTGATTTCTGTTGGGATTTCAGGGTGAACTGCTAAAGTTTCAATAGTTGCTTCAGCAGTCTGAGTGTCTCAGAGCCCTTATCCTTCCGATAAATCAAGTTGCTCTAAGCAAACAACTTAAATACTAATAAATGTCTCTGTATGTTAGAGCTGCTGAATGGAGCTCTGTGTGTCTCTGCAGGGTGAACCATGCAGTTATCTGGATTCCTAGCCTCCGTTTTGATGTCCATTTGTGGGCTTCTAAATGTAGATGAATTGCTTCCTTGCTGTCTAAACAGAGACGTCTATTGTAGGGAGTTCTGATAACTGGGCTGTATTAAAGACCATCTAAATCTCCTTTTGATATAATTATTTCCATCTCTTTTTATGATGTACTTTGAGGTGCTCCTCACTGTCCACTGGACTGTAGAAAGAAACAGTGATTTGCTTATTCCAGGTGCTAAACACTAATAAAATGGTAAGTGTCTAAGTATGCTAAGTGGATTTGTAGTTATATTGATTCTGGTATGTCTTCCTTTAAAAAGAATAAAATTGAAGTAAAATTGGAAATTCAGTCATAAAGTAAAAAATAAGCTTCTCTTGAAAATGAGGAGTACTATTGCTCACATTTTTGCCCTTTTATGAACTTTTCTGCTTATGGTTTTTGTTTCTTTGTGTTTCTGCAAAGCAAGTGACCAGCGTCACCAATGGCTCACGAGGGTCCAATGGTCAGTGACACAACTTGGATTACAGAATTAGCAACAGAAGGTATTGTGTTAATAACTTCCACATTAACTCAACACCTTCTAGATTTGGGAGCAGAGGAGTTTAGAGAATGGGTGCAATTGGTGATCTGTGTTTTGTAATTTTGCACTCTCATGGCTTTGGAGTGGGGCTGTTTCTCAGAGGGCTTTTGTTGTGCTAAGAGCTTTTTTTTTGCTCTCCTGCCTCATACAACCTCTTCCCCTCTCACTTCTGTGCAGGAGAGAAGTTCCATTTTATTGGACACTTAATGATAATTTTTATTGCTCTTGGAGGGAGGCAGAGGAAAGAAGAACTTGGATAACTCGCAATAAAGAAACCCACATCAACTCTATTTATTTTAAAATAATACTCACCTTATACTTTTACTCCTTGTCTTACTTGTGATATTTTAAACCCTCCAGCAGGTGCTGCTGCATCCTGCAAATGTTGTCTTTGTGGATGGAAAAAAAAAGTCATGGACTGGACTACAGCTGGACTTTGTTCTTTGTTTTCTGTCATGCATATTTCTGTGCTCTTTCTTTTCCTCAAACTGTTTGCCAGCTGAGTTATTAAGGAGGGAGTTTTTATGATCCCAGTGAGTTTAATCCTGCAAGTACTCTGGAAGAAAGGGTTGAAGATCAGTGGGAGTTGCTGATCAAAGTCAAGCTCAGATCAGGCTGAACAGACGCAGGCAGAAATATATTTGTCTTTCTAAAAAATATGAAGAAATTCAAGTGTTTTCTTAGAAGTGAAAAATAGTCTTAAAAGAAGTTGAATTTATAAAACTTACCAGCTGGTTTATTGCTTTTCTGAAGTTTCTTGAACTTCAGTAATTTAAGTTCATTATTTTAAATCAGTCCTATCATTACCCTTGGTCTTGAGTGCTAGAAGTTTGCAAGACAGATTACACAGCACACATTTCAGAAACTCTGAGTTAGGATTTCCATGTGAGGAAATGTTTTTGCATGTAAAATGCAAAATGTAAAGAGAGCTAATGTAAAGAGGTGTGCTCCATCCTGTTTTGGTGATGGACCACTTGTGCCAGGCAAGAATGTGGGGGCAGTAAAAGTTGAAGTTAGGCCTTGATAATGGGTAATGTATCCTTGAAGTCCTTGAATTGCATCAGGCCAGAAATGCCCTCGTGAGCTAAGAGATCTCACTGATCTCTGACACTTACCTGCATCTTGGTACTGTACAATCACAGTGATTAAACTTGTTTGTGACCATGATCTTGGCACTTTCCAGGTTATCTAGGACCCCTAAATTTAATTAAGATGAAATATTGGTTTGCTTTTGATATTTAACTTTAGTAGTACTCTAATCTTAATATAAGAGTAATGGCAGTTGACTACAGTCATAAATCCCAGGCAGGCAGCACCTGCTACTCTGGCCTGTGAAACAGCCTGTGTTCTGTCTGGGATGGCTTGAATTACCATCTTTCTCTTTCACTTCTTTTCTTTATTTCTTTAAGAAATCTAACCTAGCTATGGCAGTTGCTTCTCAGGAAGTTACAAAGATGGGTCAGGAGGAAAATACCTTCATTTTCCTTTTGACTCAACTACAAAATATTAAATATAATTAGTTTATAAGAATCCTTGTAATAATCTATGTAATCTAGATGCAGTAAACATGGGGATAAAAATTCTTTAGTCAATAAGGCCTGAAGTTCTCATGACTTTAGTAAATTGGTTACTTTATAACAATTTGATAAATGCAGGTTTGGATCTTCCAGGAGTTTCAGCTCTGCTGAATTCAGTTGCTCTGGAATGTGTATCTGTCTTTAGGGGGGCAGTTAATTCTATGCTAAAGCTGGCAGTATTCACCCACTTTAGGTTCTGTGCAGTTTGGTGTGTCTCTCCACTCATTAGAGAAAAGGAACTGGATACCCAAGGTGGTAAACTAGATTTCTATAGTGTATGTCTTACGACATGGAGATACATAACCTAAATGTGATTATAATTGATGCATTATGTATATGTAATCACGATTAATACTTCTTCATTGCTTTCTTTTCCTATATTCCCAGGGCAGCTCATGAGAGGTTTTACAGTTTTTGGCCCTAGTTTATAGCTGAGAGGAGGACAATGCCAAATATGAAATGTGTGGAACCCAAAGTGAATGAGTGGCAATGTTGGAAAAAGTTAAAATTTCCCTCTTTATAATTTTTTTGTAGTTTTTTTATAAATGGTCATCAGTTGTTGATGATTTTGTAAGTAACCACTAACATGTTGCAGATGTTTGCTTGTATTGTTGAGGACATTTTACCTTGGTTTTCCTTTAAGTTTTTATGTGCTGAAAATATGGGTAAGTGGATAAAGTCTGCATTTCTACCTCTTTACATAAATAAGATTTCCAGTAGAACTCTTTTTGACTTCCTATGTAAGAACACTTATTTTTTTACTGTAGCTTTCTAGTGCTGATAAGTTCTTCAGCTTTTTTTCCCCTATACTTATCCAGGCAACATCTGGAGGAACAATTGATTACAGCTCCTGAGATACTGTTCCCAAGAGTCAGATCGACAAAGGGGTTAAAAATGAGACAGCCTTTTACTTCAGTGGAAGTGCAGTTGTTGATTCAAGGCTCTCAGTAAATGATTGTTGGAGATCTGCCATGTGTAGCTGAGCATTCAGAAAGTACACCACAGACTCTGCTTCCTCCTAAGGAGCCTTGTCTGTCAACATCTCACTTTAATTGTAGTCTGTAAGGTACCAGCAGGCAGGCAAAACTCACCAGCCAGCAGCCATGGAAGATCCAGTCTTCACTGACATCAATCAAAATGCTAACGACACCATTGTCTCTGAGGTTTCAGATTCTGAGCAAAATAAAGGGGGTGATCTTTCTGATCATGTCCCTGCAGATTCAGCATCCCCTTTTTCCATCACTAATGTCCCAGAAAACACGGATAGTAGTAAAGAAAACTCAGAAGATAGCTGTAATAATTCTGTGACCTCTCAGCATGGAAGTGATGGAGAAAATGACTCTTCATCTCACCGTAGTGCTGAAGAAGAGCACCCAGAGCAGCAGATGGATCTGATGAGCCCAGCTCTGGAAGATAAGGACGTAGAGAGCACAGTGTTTGAGAGCAACCTGCATTTTCCTCCAGATTTCCAGTCTCGTCAGAGACAGAGCACTTTTACCAACTCTTCAACTTCCCTCAAGCTTCCCCTTAACAATAACTTTGGAGAAAGTAGCAACTTTCAGGAAGAATTTGAGATTTCCATTTTTGTAAAGGTAAGAACCCGGGTGCTCCTAAGCATACTCTAGTTTTAAACCCCAAATCAATGTGTGTCCTCCAAATCAGTGAAATACAGGTACCCACTGCTTTGCTCCCAACTCTGCTGCAGGGAGCCTTCACTTACCTCTTGCATCTTTAAGCAGAGAAAGAGGTGATTTGTGTTGTGTGGAATTGCCTGGGGTTTCTTCATTCAGGTGGAAGTATGGTAGAGGTATTCTGATGGTTGCTACAATTAATTTATTCTGGGAAATCTCCCTGCTTTTACAGCTAGGCTGCTACTTTTTAGTTGAGCTAGTTCAGCTATCCCTGCACTTCACTATCTAGTAGCTGAGAGGTCAAAAGTAATAGCTATGACTGCTATGAATAAAACGGAATATATGGTTTAAATAATGCTCATCCCTGAAAGATGTTTTTCTTTTATTTCTTTCAATATTTAGATGTAGGTATTTCTGTGACAATTTCAACACATATTTTCAATAATTTCCAGTTAGGTATAAATTACTGAGAGGGCTTTCACATATTTTCTTACTTTATAAAGGATTACTTAGGTTTCAAAACTGTAAGCACCTGTGTTCTTGAATAAACACTATAATTCCCTTCATAAAAACACTTGTATCTAACCATTCTCAACATTTATTAGGCCTGAGAGTGCCTTTTTTTTAACTATATAAGGATGTTCAAGATCTTGTGTACCTTGAATATAACAATACACCATGATTATAATGTTTTGTTATTTCAAGAGAAGCCTCATGAAGTTTGTCACTTTTCAACATAAATAATATTATCAAAATCTGTTTCTCAATTCCATGGGGGCTTTGGAAGCAGGAGAAGAGATTTTATCACCACACATAATGAGAAGAGTTTTCAGCAGTCATTTGTTTAAATGACTCCCTGAAACAGCACCTCTCCTATTTCTATGACTGGATCATTGTCATTGCTAAAAATATGTTGATTATATGGTCAAAGTAAGAGCTGTGGCATTAGTTCTATTTTTTATTCCTGCATGTAGTCCTGTGTATGTGTTAAAAGTTGCAGCAATTGAGTACATTTTGTTTGTTAGCAACTACATGGTGTTAGAAACCTGTGAGCTTTATTTTGGCTTTAAAATCTCTTTAATTTCCTTATTCTTTCACACTCCTCTTATTTCAAAATAACAGTGTTATTTTGTTTTGTTTTATTTTAACAATGTTATTATCTTTTTTGCCTGTGGAGAAAATAAGAAATGTGTGCCGATGTTCCCATTCAAGCAGAGTTGCTTGGGTTAATTTGAAAAGTGAGAAGAGAGGTATTTTGAACAGAACTGTCATGGACAAGGTCTGAGGAAGTCCTTTTCCTTGCTTTTGTTGTGCAGAGTAACGGATTATCCCATAAAGGTTCTTATCAGCTAGTCCAGAGAGAAAGGCAAACTGCTCTCTTCACTTGCCAAACAGCCTGGTGTCTTTGAGATGTCCTTGAGCCCCAAGATATCCCTACCTGGCTGAAAGGTTGAGACATGAGGCTCTCAGGTGATCCATGCAGGGCACTGGGTACTGCTGGCTAGGTGAACTCTTGTTACAGTGCTTTGCTCCTTGAGAATTTGATGATGTTTAGTTTCTGACTTTGGTTTTTTTTTTATCTTTCTGGTATCAAGGCAATAAAGTAGTAATTCCATGGAATGCAGATCCAGCTTTGTTCTCTTCAGTTATCTAGATAACAAAAGTCAGCCTGTAAAAATGGAAGGTCACAGAATAATATATAACAAGAGTAGTGAAATCCCTGAGGGCTGTGGCTTCTTGCACATGGAGCTAATATCTCAGTTGTGTCAATAAATATTACTCATTGATGGTTCCCTTCTCACATGGTCTCTGTTCCACCTGAGGCCAGTGTTGCTCTGAAATTGGTTTCATCTGGGTTTGAACTTTCCTGCAGACACTAAGAGTGACAGCAGCACTTGTGCTGTGGGACAATAGTGATCATGACTGTTCTGCCACTATTTATTCCCCCCTTGGCTTGTAGCATTAATAAAACTGTGAATGACTGGAAACGTGAGTGTCAGAGGACTGAACACCAGAGAAAGTGGGAATATTAAATGGTATCTAACAGTGCAGCTGGATGGATAATGTTTGCAGTAGTCCATTCATTAGACACCAAGAAAATGTTTACATCACTTTAACTAATTTTTCAGTGATTATCACTTCTTGGTAACAATGTCATGTCAGTGGGTTATTTCAGGATGTGACATAAGGTAAAAAAGAAATTCCCTGTGCCTTTAACAGCAGAATGCAGCATGTAACAACATGAATCTGTTTGTGTGACTCCAGCACGTCCAGGCTTGTCACAGCCACTTTAATGCCTTTTCAATAACGCTGTAATTTCTTCAAACAAAAGCCTTTGCAATTTGAACAGAAATGTGACTGGCACACAAGCTGTGTTACTGAGTGCACAGGACTGCCTAACCCAATCATAGCTCCAAGGTCCAGCCTTCTCACCTGTACACTGTATTTTCCTGTTGAGCAGCATGTTTGTTCTGAAGGTTTAGGTTTCTTTGAAAATTTAAACTTTTGTGTTTTCCTGAGGCTTGAGTTATTTAAAGACTAGTCCTTCAATTTTCTTTTCAGAAGAAAATTATTACCATTCTGTTTTTTCAATGGCCTGATACTGACTGCAGATTATGGCCTCTCTATACTCATTTGTGCCATAGGAGCACAGTTCCCAAAAGAAGGAAGGTAACTCTTAACCCTGAGCAATAAACACCTTGTGTTAGGCAAAAATACCAACATTATGCAGTGGTTTAGCATCATCAACCTGCACCTGTTTGGATCATTCACTATTTAAGAATCAGGACCTAAGCATTTAGCTGTTTCTGTTTGGAATTATGGTATCTTTTTGTAAAATTCCATTAAGTCAGGAGCTGGAAAAGAAAGGACATTTTTGTTTTTCCCACAATATGTTTCCCACTCCTCATTTGAAGTGCTGAGTCCAGCACTTGGGTCACAACAACTCCTGCAGTGTGGCAGGCTGTGAGAAGAGTGGCTGGAAAGCTGGAAAAAGACCTGGGAGTGTGAGTCAACAGCAGCTGAACATGACCCAGCTGTGCCCAGGTGGGCAAGAAGGCCAATGGCACCTGAGCTGTACCAGCCATGGTGTGGCAGCAGGGCCAGGGCAGTGATGTCCCCCTGTGCTGGGTATGGCTGAGGCCACACATCAAATCCTGGGTTTGGTTCTGGGCCCCTCACGACAAAAAAGAAACTGAGGTGCTGGAGCATGTCCAGAGAAGGGAACAGAGCTGGGAAAGGGTCTGGAGCACAGCTCTGATGAGGAGCGGCTGAGGGAGCAGAGGGGCTCTTGCTTTCAAAACTCCCTGAAAGGAAGGTGGAGTCAGGGCTCTGCTCCCAAGAAACAAGTGACAGGATGAAAGAAAATTCCTCAATTTTGTGCCACTGGAGGTTTAAATTGGATATTAGGAATTGTATATTATTTTCATGGAGAAGATTGTCAGGCACTGGAACAAGCTGCTCAGGGAAGTGGAGTTACCATCTCTGGGCATCCAAAAACATGTGGATGTGATGGTTGAGGACCTGGTTTAATGGTGAACATGGTGGTGGTGCTGGGTTGACAGTTGGATTTGATGATCTTAAAAGTCTTTTCCAACCTTACTGATTCTGTGATTCTGTGGTTCTCTGATTTCCAAGCCAGGACTGAGGACTCCAGCTTGGTGTCATAATTAACTCTGTGCTAGTTCCCTACTTACTCCTCAAGTAGAGCTGAACTGTTGTGAATGACAGACCATGTTCCTCACAGGGACAGTGAGACTCATCATTGTGTCACTGGGAAAATCACTTCTTCCTAATGAGTTGGCTTTTCTCTTGTTTTATGAAGCATTCTGGTATCTGTTGAGAGAATTCTGTTTAGAAATGTGTATTAATGGTTCAGAACATGAAGTCGCAGGACAAATCTAATTTTAAGCATGTATAATTTGAAGAGAGCAGAACCACATGGATGTCTAGTCAGAAGTTAGTGGTTAAACTGGTGTTTTGCTGAGCAGAACTGAGCATTTCTTACTACACTCATAATTTACAGAGGAAAACAACTGTATTTGCAGTTTTGGGCAAGTATTTTGGTTAGATATTTGTAAATGTAGCTGGGTGTTCAGATACCTCCTAGCAATGGAAACCAGTTACTCTTCTAATTGACCCCCATACAGCACATAAGGGTAGTGTTCATCCATATATTCTCCTCCAAGGTTTGAAGGGTTGTAAGGTAAATTGTAGCTGAAGCCACGTGGCAGGTGTAACTCTCCATATGCACACAAAATTATAATAGTTTGTTTTTTTATGACATTTTAGCTTTTAAAAATATTATAAATAATAAATCAAATGGAAGTAAGAAAATATTACTTTGGTCTTATGAATAAGCTTAGAAAAAGGTTGAATGATTCATAATCCCACCTTTTAAACAGAGTTAACTGAATAACCTGAGCAAAGAAAAGATCCAAGAACTATTTTCATAGTTTACCAGTCTTGGCAGATTTACAGACTATGATGCTGAAGTTGACATGTACACAGCAGGAAATGACTCATGGGGAACCAATATCCTAACGTAATACCTGTTTTGATAATTAAAATGAATTGTTTATTCCTGCAAATAGTCTTGAGATAGCGTACAAGTACAATTAAGTATAGAAATACAAGTCTGGAATACCAAATGATGAGTCTTCCAGCTCTCAGTCTTATCTAGACTGTTCCTAACAGATGCTTCTTTGGGAACATTCAGTGGTGCGATTCAGCATCTATACCAATTAGTCTTTAATAATACTTAATTATTATCCTGAGACAATATTTTTCTCAAGTAAGATCCTGTTGCTCTGAATTATGCTATTTTTAATATACAAGACCTTTATGTATATAGAAGATACAGATCAAATTTCCTTCAGTCTTTGCTTTCTTGAATTTAACAAATCCTTCAGCTTGCCTTCAAGCTTGAGGAAGCTTCATAATTTCTAAATGTTGAGTGGTTGTGGTTTGTTTTTGGTTTTTTTTATTTTTTTTTTTAGGGGTGTTTTTTTATGACATTTTCAAGGGTTTCTCCAGTTAATTTATATAATTCTTAAGCTCCAGTTTGGAGGTACAGGTAGTGCAAATAGCAGTGCAAATAAAAATAACTACAGCAAGTGCTTCTTTAACTCATCATTTATCCAACTCTCTAATCACAACACTTTATCTGCTCTATTTTAACATATTGTTGAATCTTTTAACATTTATAGGGTTTCTCCAGCCCTGGTGTTTTCCCAATAAATGCTTCAGTGACAGTCTCAACCATTTGTTACTTGCTCATTTGCAGGCAGGTGTAATACAGTAGTACAGCACAGTTTGCTGCTGGCATTTGACTTGTAGAGCATTAAGTTTCTCTTCTGTGAGAATTTAGGTTTCACTTAGTGGTGTGATCAGACTCTGATCACCCCTCACTGAGAACAGCCTGGTTTTGGAGTCAGAGAACAGCTCTGACATAAATCCAGTGTGAAGAACACCCTCCCAGTGCTTTTGCTTTGCTAAATTGGAATATAGGGATATATCTCTAACACCTGCACACCACTGTGCAGACCCAGCATGGCTTTATGGCTCCCTCCTCTATCCACTCTGTCATGTACAGCAGACTGATAACCTCTTAAATCTTCACATATAAACCTAATAGCTCCTAAACCTTATTTCTGAGGAGGAAAACTGTGCTGTGGGTCTCTTCACAGCCGGATTTATGCCTATTCAAATGATTGTGTGTTTGTTTGTGTGTGTGTGTGAAAAGATTAGTGACAGCCATTCTGTTACAGATAACACCCAGTCCCCCGACTATCAGTCACGAGCAGAACGTGTGTTCCAGCAGCAGGACAGAGCACTTTGCTTAATCTTTTGGATACAAAGGGTAAAAGGTCTTGCTTCCAACCCTTGCTAAGTTTGTGCCAGACTCAGGCACCTGTGGAAAGGTCTGTGAATCAATTTTGAGCTGGCACTCCCGTGCCTCCCTCAGTGTGTGGCTCCAGCCACAGCGGTGTTGGGGCACAGTGCAGTAGCGTAGCAACAGCTTCCAAATACAGACCTGTATTATCTAGGAAATTGTCCCTGCACAGCGGCTGTAGCAATGGCAAACACAATGTAAATAATGTTGGTCACACCGAGAGAAAGTTAAAACAGGATTTATTTACTCATTTATTTTTCCTCATATATATTTCATCTTGTGATAACCTCTTTGATGCTCTGAAAACAAGGCTCTTATCCCAGCATGGACTGCTTTTTCCTTTTGAAACGTCTCAGTACCTACGTTTTTGGAGTGAAAAATGTTTGCATTTGTGGATTGCTTCTTTGCTGGGCTTGAAAACTTATCTGTGTAGTGGTACTGTCACCTATTAAATGGATCCTGTACAAAACAGAGCAATTTGTATTATTTCAAACTGCTTATTTCAGAAGTACCTAAAGAGCAGCTCTACCAAGACTGATATTCTACAAACACAAAATAATGCATAATCCCTGCAGAGCAATAGGTGATGATATATGTCAATTATTTTTGAGTCTGCAAGAGGAAAACATTTCTGCTCTGCTCTTTGTTTTCTTTAGATATCAAGGGTTGGATTTGGCTTATTCCACTGCAGGTGTGTCTGTAAGCCATTAACTACACCTCTGCAGGATGCCTTAGCCTCTTTTTGCAACAAACAGCTACCTGAAATATCATGGTGGGATGTTAATTCCTGTGTCCAAGTGCAAGCACCACCTGTAGAGGGAGGTTACTTGTTAGATAGATTTCATTCTATGTTCACTGTATGGAGTGGGGCCAAATCCAGTTTTCCAACCACAGGCATCTCCTGCTGGTTTAGAAGGCTTCTAAAGGCTTCTTTCCTGACCTCCAGCTTCATCTGCAGGCCATGGATGTCCCATAGATCCCGTCTCGTATATGTTTATGGATTTCCTCAGCCATCCTATCAAATGCTGCTGGATATCTAGGCTCAGGCAACTGCATCAAGCCATAATCTTTCACTGGAAACAATGGCATGGTCACCTGAAGTTAAATAAACAGAATACCACCAGTGAGAGTTTAAGTACAAATCTTGGATGGCTAGATTAGACTACAAGTGAATTCTGGTGACAGACACCTGGAAACAAACTTTGGATTGATTCATTTCTTTTTTCAGGCTATGTAATTTCCCTTTTTGTTTCAGTGTCACTCAGAAACAACTGAAGTGCGATAGTGATCAAACAGTGAGATGTTGGACACTTCTGCTCTTCGCTTTGCAGTCTAAATTAAGCAGATAAAATAATCTAATACATTTTATCATCTTTCCAAGACTGGGATCCAGCATTCTAACTTTAGTCAAATTTTATCCTTTTTTTAACAACAATCCCATATATGTGTCTTTCAACTGCATTTGTTTTAGAATTACATTTTATTTCAGACACCATAGTAGAAGAGACAAGCCAAGTGAATATACTAAATTTGAATTCCTAGGTAGCACTTCAAACACAGCTTAAGATTTTAATTGGGAAAAGAAAAATGGTTTGTTTCTTTGGGTCATAAGACCCTGCATTGAAGGCAAATTTTCCACTCTTCTGCCACTTTATTTATGAGTTTACTTAGAAATATTCAGTGTCCTCTCATAACCTTGTTTGTGGCTGAAAGGAAACATAAATATTTCTATGTATTTGTGGCAATATAAAAAATATTTACCACTTCTTTGTGGGAAATGTTATGAACCTGTATGAAACTACCTTCTGTGGCAGAAGAAAAGGTGGAAGTGTGTCACTCTAAAATGAGTCATTTATTTGTCATCTGCAGGTATGATTTTTATATTTAGATCTCTAGATATTCTTTTTCATATCAATTAATGAAACAATTGTAGGTGAATTTTTACTGTTGGTATGTCTCTGATAATGTAAGATGTCAGTGACTTTCATGATGTTACAATGACGTGCTCAGGGATAGATGGGAAGTGAATTTGTCAGTGCACAGGTCTGGTTTCAGTACATCCAGCAGTGTTCAAAACCAGGATTTTGATTCACAAGTTAATTAATTTTCTGTTGCAGGCTCCATGCATGTGTTAATGAAGTAAAACTCTAGAACACATCTTCTGAGAAAAAACCATTATCTTCCTGCTTATATGTCTATAATAGATGTGGCACAGAAAGGTAGAAATCTGCACACTGACCAAGACAGTTTCTTTGGGAATTCTAGGTAATCTGAAAAAGAAATTCATGGGACTGGATGTGACTTTTTGGGACATGAGATCAAGTATTCTGTTACAGCCAGCCTTGTCATGTAATACTTCATTCATAAAGTGATTAAGGTCTATTTAGGAACTATTACTATTATTATTCATTTTGGAAATCTGTTTCAGAATGTCACTGCTCTGAAGGTTTGACACTTTAATTTCCAAATTACCTTTATTTATGTGCAGCTGAAACATCCTTGCTCTTGTGCCAGCATGGTCCATCAGCATTCATTTAACTCTTTTAAAAATCAGTTTAGGCTTAGACAACCTCAGATGTTTTGGGGCCAAACCAGCCAATCCTTTTTGTCTCCGTTTCTGCCAGTTGTCATAGTAATCCCCTTCTGTACATATTTGCTTTCCACAAAGGTGCCTTTTTTTTTTTCACAGCTGTATCTTGTCTCAGTTTGCTTCAGCTTTTATAGCTAAACTAAACAAGCAGCAGCAAGATTCTTTTTAAAACCTCCTCTTTTAAGATACCTATGATTGTCTGAGTAAACAAATTCTGTTTGAGGTGAAATGTCTATGTTGCTGTGCTTTGGGAAATCTCAACATTGTGTCCCTGTACCTTGAGGGCTAGTTGGGAAGCACATGGAAGGAGTGGATCTGCATCTGAAAATATAGGTATTTAATCACTTTTCAGACCTCTGCTTACATGTATTTGTATCTTTTTTGGATTAATTTTAAAATCTATTTGATTAAAAATTTGACCAGCAGAAGTGTTTTATATTTGCCCACATTTATACTTGGTCTATAAATATGTTCATCCTTAGCTGTAACACTAATATTTTGTGTGGCCCCTCACTGCGAGAGGATGGGTCTCTGTTAGCAAGAAATGGCCAGTGAGGTGCCCAAATAATACTGGTAATAGTCAATAAACAGAAGTACTAAGAGAACTAATTTAAACTTATAAAGTTTTTATTTTTCTTAATGTCATCAGAAAGTTTTCCTAATTTTAATACACATTTTTCTCACAATTTCAAATTAATTTCTCAAAGCCTAAAGTTACTACAAGGTCATATTTCCACAAAATGTTACTAAAAGAATATACTGGACAAGGGTCCAGTGTCAAGAATCTGTTATACACCATGTGGCCTGTTTTGAAAAGGCACCGATCTATCCTTCTTTGGTGAGCACATGGATTTGTAAATAATCACAGCAAGTAGTTTCCAGTTACACAGTACATAGTTACACGGTGATAAAAACCACCACCTTCGTAAAAACACCAGAGATTGATTTATATGTATATCATACTGAATGATTGCCTCACTTATTTGACTTCAGGAGGCGCTTTAAATTCACTAATTTTCACCAAATACAGGCAGGATGCTTATCTGTTGAATCAATAATTTCCTCATGGTCCCAACGCGTGTCCTGGGTGTGCTGGCGCCTTGCAGGAGCCCGGTTGGGAGCAGCAGGTTCAGTCACTCGGCTCCTCCCTGGGAGATTGCTGCCAGTGAAGTTTGGCCGGAGCAGTTTCTGTGCGGATTGGCCCCGCACCCGCGGCTGATAACAGCTAAAAATAGCCCCGCTATAAAAACCCGGCCGGCAGCTCAGCCAGCCTGGCATTCCCTCCTCCCCTGCCAGCCAGGGAGGAGACCGAGCTCTCCAAGTCCCTGCAAGGATGTGACCAAAGAACGCTCTGCTGCCTGACCCCACTTAACAATTAACTTGTCAAGACTGGACTGGGTGACTCATGGGGATGGTAATCAAGTATACTTTATTTAAAAAAAACAAACAAAACAACAACAACAAAAAAACCAGACTGAAGGCCAGATTTTCCAAGCAGAGCGTGACAGGTGGGCTGGTGGAATGTGTTTGGAAGTGTGCCTGTAGAATACTGTGTACAAGAATGTTGTTCTTGTATATATATTCACATAATCACCTGTAGGAGAGTGTACCCCCTGACGATGGAGTTCTGAACACTTGAAAACAAATGTATTTTCATTTGACAATGGTTTGACTAAGCTGACATTGAGGAGTTCAGGAGGCTATTCTTAGCTTGCTGTTGATTCTGGGGAAATTGGGTCATTTCCTTGAATTTTGTTCACTTTCAAGCTTTTGTTTTAAGATGTAGCCTGGGGGAATCCGTGACTTCAGTGGCTGAGTGCATTGCAAGATAAATCTTTGGGTATCTGAAGTCCTTTGGATGAATAAAGAAGACACCAGTGTTGAAAAGCTCCCTTTTTAAAGTCCAGCCACACTGACTTAAAAACAGGGCGTAAACAGGGAAAGAATTACGAAGCATTACATATCAGTGGCACTATCAGCCCCATCAATAGTAAACTATTCCCACATGTATTACTTCCAGTGGCTCCAGAGTCCTCCTCTGATTTTATGAAGCTTTGCACGATGAAGTTTGCATGTGTGGATTCCCCTTCATTTTCATCACAGCATTTTAATTTTTTTCTTTATTTTTTTAAGATATTGTAAGGTTTACAATATCTTGGAAGAGTGATAGATGACCTGGCTAACTTGCTTTCAGTTTTATTCTATATACTTAGTTATCTACAAAGGGCTATAAATTACCTTTTAATTTGTTGTTTAATTGCTGGATATCTCCTGGCTTATGAGATAATTGCAGAGCATGTTAGTATGATAATTCTGTAGCCTAAAGTCATCTTCTTATGGTCAGGAGACCTAGCATGGTCAGAGATGATAGAAACTCCATCACAGTGACTTCTGTCTAGTGAAGATGCAGAGCTGACAGGAGTCAAACCTCACAACACACACAGCTTCATCCTTCTGAACTCTGCTTTTCCTCTCTGAAGGTCAATTTTCTTCATGAACCTGTAGTCAAAACTTAACTGGAGAGCCTCTGTTGGCTGCCATCCTCTGCAGGGGAATTTAGTTTTATCTCAACATCATGAGGTACCTTTATATATATTTATTAATTAGTCTGGTATCAACTCTGACTTGCTGCTTGACTAGAAATGGGTAGAAGTTGCTAATAATGAGTAAAGATTTCATTAGAACTTTTCCAACTGGTGTAGGTCTCACAGGAAAACCTATCCATTTTCTACAGAATTGCATCAGAGTTGTCACCAGGGTCAGAGCAGTGAGACTGCAAAGACAAACTGGGCTTTGACATTTTGGTGGTCTATGAGGTTGCTCCCAGGTATTTCAGCCAGTGGTCAAGGGTCCACACCTTTCTTATAAAAGTGATACTTGCTGCATGCTCTGTGAAAATATGTGATTTTGGCAAAAGATGGAAAATTTTTGGAAAATCTGCCACTAAGAGACAAAAAATCCCTTATGTCTTCCTAGTTGGACTACCCAATATTCTCAGTTCTGACAGACTGAAACAAGGCACCCCAGTTATTTAGACTGTGTTCAGTGCTGAATTTCACAAAAAAATTACTTTGGGTCTTTAGTCAACCACCTTTTTAAGAATTACCACTACCATCTTTTGCTTAAGTATGTGGGACATGTTCTTGGAAGTCCTAATTAGCTGGGTTTGTTGGTCACCAGCAAAAATCTGTTAATGTGACAGTTACCAGAAAAAAATCTGCTAAATGTAAAAGTGGAGGTCATATCTGTGCTTAACTTACTTCAGTTCATCCTGGTTGTTTGCATTAGCTCTGCAGTGAAAAGAGTCCTCAAGCAAAAAAAAACCTAAAATGAGTATCACCAAGTCAACTTCAGGTACTGCAAGATGTTGAACTTTTACTTTGAAGTTCTTAGGAAGGAAAAAAAAGAACAAAGAACCCACCGTTCATTTCATAAGAGCTTAAGGTGATGCACTAAGGCAAGCGAGCTGGCAAACCTGGTGGAAACTTTATCACAGAAGAAGTACCAAAAGGTGAAATGAAAAATGAATGAAGGCAATTTATTAAGGAGAATGGAAGAGTTCTTCAGTTCACTGTGAGGCTCAAGGTCAGCCAGCTGCATTAACCCAGGTGAGCAGCACAGCCATTGACCAGAGGCATCACCATTGCAGAGGTTAAACTTTGCTGCCACAGAGGGGTGTAAGGATGTTAAGCCCTGCTATTTCACACTGATCAAGTGTGAGTTTATCAGGAAGCAAAAATCTAAAGGCCCTTTTCTTAAGCCAAACAGTACATACACTGCAGAGGACTCTGAAATCCATGGTGCAGATCCAGGCACATAACCTGCCATGCAGGTACTGATGCCAGTGTGTGAACCCATGGGGAGTAGCCTGAGTCATGAGTAATTTCTAACTGAGCTGCTGAAAACTTCAACTTTTAGAAATAATGTACTTCAGAACATAGAGAGTAATTCCAGCTTTCAGCCAAATTGTTTGCTAAACAACAGTGTGAAACACTGAAGTGTCCAATGAAATCAGCAGCAACTGTGCATTCTTTGAGCCTTATTTACTGGGAGGAATTGAAGCCTAGCCTGAGATGTGGATGAGTTGTACATGCCATTTTGAACACTTTCTGTAAATAATAATTCATAAATCAGGATTAAAGTAGTGTGTTGTATGCTGGTCTTTCGTTTGGGGGGGGATTTAATCCTAGCTTGCCTGTTCATACTTCAAATCTTAATTAATTTAGACTTAATTTATGATAAGAAGCATACAAAGAAGGGAACAGAAATAATCCAAATAGGCACTTAGATGATGAACTCCGGTAAAATAAGTCAGGAATAGGCATTACTGACTCTGTTGCAGATTTGGAAGTAAAATCATGTAATTTTAGTTCTATGACAGTAGTGATTCAACAACAATGGGTACATCAGACTTACCTGGTGCTGTTTTTCTTCACCACACTTGATAGCATGGAGGATTCATTTTGAAAAGCAAAGGCTGAGGATTTCTACATTTCTCCTTTCATCAGCTGCATTATCCATATAGCCCACAGTCTGGGACAATCTGTCATGCTGTCCATTGTATCTCCTACAATACCACTTTCCAGAGCAGTCTCAGTCCTGGTTGGAGGTATCTTTTGTTTTTAATTGAAATGTCAGTTTTGAAATGATAGTGAAATAAACCACTGCCCTCTAGAAGCCTCTGTACTGAATGCAGGATTCGGAGATGATTTTGAACCTTTTCAGAGCCTCTTCCTTACAAATGGGTACCTGATTCTGTCTCAATATGAGCACTGAGATCATTATCCATAATGAAATCCCTCTTCACACTGAACAGCAGCAGGTTTTCTCTTGAGGTGTTAATGCTTATTAATGTTGCAGCAAAGTTTGATGCTGAATCCATGCAAAAATATAATTATATATAAAAATAATTCCATGGTTTTGGAGTAGAACTTTGCAAAACTCCAGTCTGAACTGATTCATTCTGCTAAACAGAAGAGTTTCAGCAAGATAATTTTAGAGCTAAGGTGCTGCTTTTTTACTAAAAATATAAAGGAGAGCTGCTGTAGTTTATGGCTGTGATGGATTCACAATGTCTGGGGGTGGGTATAGATTGGGTTATCTCAAACTGGCCAATTAATGGAGTGCAAAGTTTTCTGGTCTAGGCTTTTCCATCCCACCCCATTTATTGGAACATTCAGGCTACACAGCTGTTTTTGTATCTATTGATGTCTTTTCTTCCATTACCTTGAGTGTGGGAAAATTCACAAAAAAAAACAAAATCACAGTTCTTCCATCAAACCAGCACATTTTGAGGTACTGTACATCTTTAGAGCTGAGGAAAAGAATCTGATCACCCAATGTTGGCATAAGGCTGATGAGAAGAGCTTTGTATCTTCTTGCATGTCTTGTGCATTTTGGGAGGGGAGCCCACTGTCTCTCCTCAAATATCTGAGACAAATCTTTTGATTTTTCTGAAATTCAGACAAAAGATCGATAGTGAGACATTATAACTCCAAAGAAAATAAAAATTACTAGATTAATTTGTTGCAGTTGTTAACTTGTTAAGTGTGTTGCATATCAAAACTACTAGCATCCAATAAATGCAGTTGCAAATTGCCAGTAATTCAGGACTGTCTCTGGGAGAGATGTTTCCATAACCCATTCCCACCACCCTGGGTGCTGCTTAGGTGTGGGTTTTTTTGGCAAATAAGCAGCTAAATAATTCCCTGGAAAAATCATAGCCCTGATTACCATTTACTGCATTTACTGCAGCTGCACCAAGTTTTTACTTCTTTTCATCACAGCAATGAAAAACGTCGCCGGTATTGTATAAAACTTGCAATACCTGCTCTCATGGAATGAGCTGGATGGGAGCACTGGGGGATGGATGTGCTTTGTGCTCTGATCCTTCTGGGTAACGTAGCAGTCTGCTGGAGAAAAGCATGATAGAGTTACATTCTGGATGCTTGGCCTCTGCTTCACCCCCCTGGGACAAATCTTTGCTGGAAGTGAAGCTTGGATCAGGCCTGTGAAAGCTGATAGTGCATCAGGGTTCACCTACAATAGAGGTCTTACGTGGGGACATGGCCGTTCCTTTTCTGAAGCTGTCCTCTTCTTTTATTAATGGGATGATGTGCTCATATTCATTTCTATATCTCATAAACCTCAAACTATAATGACTTGGCTTATGAGGAGTTCATAATTCAGTGTCTAATGTTCTTGTGTGTAACTCAAAGCCTCTGCTACTTCTGACTTGTGAGAAAATGATAGGCCAAACTAAGTGACTCATTCTTTGCAGTAAAATGAGAGTGTACTAATTATTTATCAGTGTCTTACCCTTAGTTTGGCTGAAGAAAGACCTGATTTCATAACACACAAAAGAGCTGTGTAGACACTAAAAACCATTGTAGTCAGAAAGGTTCCACCCAGATGTAAGTGATAAGTCAATTTTCTATGACAGAAAAGCAGTAAATGCATGAATAGAGTCCTAAAGCAGTGCACATAAATATATATTTATATATACATCTACATATATTTCTTCCTACTCACTGCCTTTGACAATGATTATTCTAAATTCAGCTTTCAGAATCTCTTTTTTAAAAAACAGCATTATATGAACAAGTTATATTGTCTGTTATGTTTGGTCTCTTCTAGGGATTCCATGGGGATATTTTTGTAAAGCAGAGGGGTTTTTTTTGAGATGGGCTGGCTTATTCTTTCCACGGATACCTAAAAGCACAGCTGGAACACCAGATGTGTGGTATTCACTCCTCAACTTCTGTAGCCTCTGAGCACCCCAGATCAGGTCCTGGGGCAGGGGGTGAGGTGGAAGCAAATGGGGAAGGCACCTTCCAGTGGCAGCACTGCCCAGAAAAACCCTGAAAAAAACAGGTGGGATCTGGTCCTTTCCTGCAGAGTTTATATCTGGGTTAGGATGGAGATGGCTGCAGGGCACCTTTGCTCCCTTTGTATTGCAAAGTTTCCCTTCTGCTTTGCTGAGCCTCAGCGCAGTAATCTTCATCTGCAAAGTGATTATAACACACCACTAAACCCAGACAGCAATTGGGAGGGAAGGATTTGAATGTTTTGACACGTTGAATCTCTACTGAAATTGCTACATCTGGAGTTTGACTTTCAGAAGCACAAGGCACGTACAGCCTCTGGAGTGAGGGATGGCACATGCACAGGAATCAGGCACTAAAGCCATAGATTTATTTTACTTAAAAATTACTGCAGGATTTGTCTGACCATTACATGTTTATCTCATTACCCTGGGCTCAATGGAAAAAATTAGACACTTCTAGGGCATATTTTGTTATTCTAAAATAGACATCTAAATAGGTCACATGCATCATAACTTGTAAGTGTTGATATTTTGAAAGCTGGTTTTATTTCTTCCCTTTGGTTTAACATTAGCAGCGTTACCTCATTACTGTGCTCATAGCATAGTATTTTCTCTTCCAATAGAGATGGTCCTGTGATATAATTTGTTCAAACCACTTGCCTATATAAAAACAATGTTTTCAGTGGGGCTGGAGCTGCAGGTAATGTCAGTGATGACCCATTTCCCATTGTTCCCAAGAACCCTCATTAAAGAGAAATTATGTCACCACAAGGTGTTAGAACAAAACAATTTTTCAATAAAACCCAAAAGCTTATAATTGTACAGTTAATAATGGATTGTTTAGGAATGCATTTTAGAGATACAGTGATTACTCTTAAGTTTTTGGCAGACTTTTATAACTGGAATGCATAATTACAATGCAATGATTCTTTCTGCCACACGTAAGTACACTTAGCCCATGTCCTTGGAAACTTGCCTGTAGGCCTAAGAGCAATTGTACTCTAAATGTTTGGTAATTAATGTGCCTACTCCAAAAATTACACGTAAAAATTTGAAATCAAAGGAGTAATAACACTTAATTCTCTTATAGTTAACCTTCCAGTTATTTGAATGAGTGCTAATTAGATCTAAAAACCATAAGCATACTTTTACAGTAATTATAATGATGATTATGTTGTAATTACAGTTGCAACAGCATAATGAGATTTACTCGTTAACCATTTCAGTCCTTCATGTAGTGCACATGAATCAGCTGTTGTGGGAAGATTCCCACAGGACTTACCCAAAGGGCCACGGAGGTGTTGGCTGTGACTGCTCTGGAGCTGTGTCAAATGCCTAGAGGTCACAGGGGAACTGGAGATCATCTCAGAAGCACACAGCTAAGAGCACTTTCAGGAAAGGCGAGTGTTTAATCATGTCAAAACTCTCCCCAGAAGGCCTCTCTGTGTCAGAAGGGGAAGGCAAAATGCTCATTTCTGGCAGCTCGAGCTGCCAACAGCCTGTGAGCCAGAGCTTTGGCAGTCCTGAACCAGGATTGGAGCAGAAGTGCAGGAAGAGACTTCCCGAGGGCAGGAGGACACAAAGTCCCTCCAGCAGGGATGGGGAGGAGGAGGAGGAGGAGGTGCCACTGACCCTTTCACCTGTGCCCACTGTCCTCTCTGTACCAGCACTCCCTCCCTTCATGCCTTTTGGCTGTGTCAGGACTTTCTATAGGTGCCACCTCATGCTCAGAACTGCTGTGTGATGCCCTCTGAGTCATGCAAGGAATGCAAGGGGAAGGAAAGGGAGTAGGGATGACAGCAGCAGGCTGAGGCTTGGAACTGTTCTCCCATGCTCCACCCAGCAAATCTTCGCTCTCCTGTTCCCCCTCTACAACCAGCACCTCGAGGGGCAGGCTGAGAAATAGTTATAGGACCCAAGTATTCCCATTTCCCTACTCCTGAGCTCCATCAGCAGCGGTCACATCATCTTCTCTCATCTGAGTATTCTGTTTTGGCTTCTGTTCCTCTCTGTACCACACACATGGCAGGGTTGCTGAGGCAAAGCTCTGCTTTTCTTCCCATTCCTTGATTGATCCAACAGCCAGTGCACAGGCTCTTCTTCTCTTACTTTTCTTAGCAATAACAATATTAGGATTTTGAACAGCTAGAGGCAGGACAAACACCCTTCAGGAAAGCAGAAAAAAACATCCCTGTTGCTTAAAGCAACGAAACCAGCCCTGCTGCAGGACTTCGTTCTTCCCTGTCCCTGGTGCTCCCAGCTGTAGAATGAGGGAGGGAACAACAGAAATGCTGAGAACAGGGAAGAGCAGAATTCTTTGCTCAGAGACTGATCCTGCCGTAGGTACCAGGAGCTTGTCTCCTCCCCTGTGAGTTTAACCCCACCCTCTGTTTTTTTATGCTCTGGGCTATTTTGGGCAGGCAGCGAGGGCTGCAGCTCTGACAGATGAGGATACTGTACCAGAGCACAGCAGCACTTGTTGCTCTGAAGAACTACTGTAACAGGGGCTGCTCCTCTGCTGCCTGCCTTTTCTTAATTATTATTAATTTCATAACCTGCAAACTTGTTTACTCCACTGCTTTCGAGCTTTATCACTACAAATGATGTTTTAAGAGCTTTGTGAGAGCGGTTCAGAAGGGAAACTGACACGCCGTGCAGTTGAAACCTCCTTTTGCTCTTAATATCAAGAGATCAGCTGGTAGCCTTGGGGGTGAAAAATGACAGACTCTGTTGCTGCTAATGGGGAAGGAAAGGACCCTGAAATTGAGCTCTTTGTGAAGGTAAGTTGCGCTGTGAACTGGACACTGGTGTGACTCTCAGATCGGCTCAGCTTCTACTGAATAATCAAACTTTAATTTTCTGGTGCTGAGCAGACGCGGTGCTGTGACAGCCTGTTATCTCCTGCACACACGCTCACTCTGCTTTCTTCTTCGTGACATTAGAATTAGGTAATGGTGTGGAGGGAGAGTCAGAGTTCCTGTGTTTTATTGTTAATTCTCTCCTCGTGAGTTTGTCCTGTTATTCTTAGCCTGCTGCCTGCAATGTTCTGTGTCCTAACTTTAGACTTGAGGCTGTAGGCTCCAGATTTTGCTTTATGAATCCTGACTTTCTTTTCCATTTTTGGGAAAGCTGGGGGGGGTACCAGGATTGGTACCTCAGTAGAGGCTGTCAGGTCTGAAATGCTGATGGACCATAAAACAGTAAGGATTGAGATAAACTGTCACTCTTCTGATTATTTACTGCAATACTTCCTTTTTTTTCCAAACCAATAAAGACAAAATCAGTTTTACTGTCTGTTTCCTCAGCCTCTCCTTCTGGTTTTATAGAATGGTAACTGAGAACAGAAAGCAATTTAATGAAAATATAGAAAAATAACTACACCTGTTATGTGGTAGGGTTTCAGAATATTTGGTCTTGAGCTGTGAAAACCTTACCATTAAAATAGGTGTCACAGTTGAAACCCATGATACCTACAACTTTATTAATAGCAAACTTCATGCAAACTCTGTCTCAGTGAAGAGCTCAGATTTTTTGATGTTCAGAGTGTTTTAAAGTCTCTACAGACATTGAGGCTGAAGTAAAATTATGTGTAAAATTACAGAATGGCTTGGTTTGGAAGGGGCTTTAAAGATCATCTTGTTCCAATCCCCCTGTCATAGGCAGGGACATCTTGCACTAGATTAGGTTGTTTAAAACCTTGTCCAGCTTGGCCTGGAACACTTGCAGGTGTTTGGTCTCTCTGACCCTAGTCCATTCCTGTAAATTCATTGGATTATTATTAATATGTGGGAGTTACCTCAGACCCTTAGCAAACAGAGCCCTGAATGATTAGGAAAGCAAATTCCAGCCCCTCCCTTCTGTCAAGATGAGGGTATGTAATTGCTTTGTACTCCCTGATGGATATTTTGGGCTGTAAGTTGAAATGTCAGCCACATCCATGATGTGTATACACAGCCTCTTCACACATCTTCCAAAACCAGTCAGTTCAGGTGCAGGTGCTGTGACTGAGCCAGCAGTGAGATCTTTTTCCGTAGCAAACAGATTTGACAAGAATTTCAGGTTCATAAGAGCCCCATAGTTCCTTTTTACAGAGGGCTTAACATACTAAAATGGACCAGCATGAGTCCATACAGCCAGACACCTCACCTCTTACAAGTTGTTTCTACCAATCTGAGTTTAGTGGAGATGTTTACGGGCTAAAAAATAGGTTTGTGATGTTGTTTGGCACTCTATCATCAGTCAAATGTGTGCTGCAATGGAAGTCTGTAGCTACTGATTTGTTTTAGTGCTTGCACTATTTCACTGAGGCTGACATGGATGTTTGTGATATGTGGTTCTTTGACTGTTAAAGTGAAGGTCATTGCCCAGATTCATTGTGTGAAACTCTGGATCCATAAGATTCTGGGAAAAATGAGCACTGCCTTAAACCAAGCCATGCCACCACCTGAAGATTTATAACTTCAGAAAGAACATTTTTAGTAATGTGACTTCCTGCATAATGCATATTACAGAATTGCATAGAGACTCACATAAAGCTCAGAGCTGGAATAGAAGAATTAATTGGTATCTTCCTGGAGACTTTCCATTTAGGTTGAAAAATTGCAATTCTTGATGTTTTGGAAAGGTGCCATTAATTTAATTAAAAGTTTAAGAGGTTCTATAGTAAAGTGTGTGACCAGAGTATTGAATTATACACCTCAGAAGTTCAAAAATAAAAAGAGAAGAACCTCCAAAAGAGAGACAAGCTGATAGCTGAAAAATAGGAGAATGTGAGAATCATGAACAAGTGAAAACTTTTCTGGAGGATGACTGCAAAGAATAGGATATTAGTAAGGAGAGGTGAACAGGAAGGCTGATCCAGGCTGGAAAGAACAGAAAAGTGGTTCTGGAGGACTGGGAGATATTGGGACAAGTGGCAAATGCACTGGACCACACTTGAGGCAAGTCCTAACAGCAGAGGATGTTGGAATCAATGAACAATTCCTCATTTGATTTTTATAGAGGTGATACTTCACCCAAGGGAAAGAGTTCTGTCCTGCATCCTTGAAGGAACACAGAAAATGCAGCGGTGAGTGAGAAAATGTAGGGCAGTAGAGGTAGCCTGGTGGAAACTGTATCTTCCACAAGCCCAAAAAAACCAGAAAGGGCTGTTTTTCACCAGCCACAGCGTCTCTAATAAAAGCATTTTCTGTCTCAGGTTAAAAAAGAAAGGTGTTACACAATTGCTCTATTTCTCTTTGCTGTTTGTCAAGCAGGAGCCTCAGACAGACAAGCAGGGAGCGGGGTTGTAACCAAAAGAGCTGCTCTGTAACCTAATGCAGGTTGGCTCCGGATCTCCTGAGCTGCACAGACAGGCTGGGCACCACCAGGACACAGCTGAGCTGCTGTGGCAGGGACAGGTTAAGTGGTTATCACACCTATTTGTTACCATCCCCATTGATTTCACTTGTTTTCTAACGGTGTCCTAACCTGGATCTGTGAGGTATTTTTTTGTGAACAAGTGTTTGTTCTTGCAAGGTGTGTGTTTGAGAGCAAACCCCCCCCAAATCTGGGGCAGGACACAAGGAGGGCGATGGTGGGAGCACTGAGGTCTGCCAGGGAGGTGGTGCTGCCTTGATCAGATCCTCAGCTTGTGTGAGCAGGCCTTTGCTGAATGCTGAAACTCTCCAGCAGCAATTCCCTCTCTAAACTTGTTTGACAGGGAACTGGGGGAGGCTGCCACAGAGACAGGTTTGATGTGTGGTGTTGTGAGAGGCTGGCGGCAGCAGTGTGGGGAAGGGAACATCGGGAGGTAGTGCTTGCCCTGTGCTTATCCCAGCTTGTTGTAACTCAGGCTAATTTCAATCCTCTGTGTGCTGGAGAAGCAAAGTACTTCTGTATAAAGGACAATGACACCCTGATGGAAGATCTATTTAGCTTTTCCTGGCAATCTTGCACCTGTGTGCATGAGCATGATAGCAAAATTGAAATGTGCTCCTTTTACGTGAAGTAATATAATTAAAGGGAGGACCACAGGACTTTTGTGGCTTCTTTCTGTTTGTAATGGAAACAGGTGTTTGGACGTACATTCCTTGCCTTTCAGGATTAGAGTAGTATCTAATATTGAAAGTTAATTTGATGGGAGATACATTGTACCCATGGAAAACAAAACATGAGGCAAAGAAGAGTGCATTGCTCAGAATGCAGTCTAGAAAGCAAACAAACCCCACAAGTGAACCAAAGTACATTTCATTTTTAAAATCTTCCTACTTTAGAAACACTCTATAACAAGATTTATCTTAATCCATATTTCTGATAGTGAAAAGGTGGTGATATCATGGTAGTAGGAGAATGTGTGGTAAATTGGCAGGCAGCTACTTCTAGAAGGAGTCATTGTTGTGGCACTGATGGATTAATGTTAGGGGCATGTTCATTGGTGTCCTGGGCTGCACCAAAATCAGAGGGACCAGTCGGTCAAGGGAGGTGATTCACTCTTTTGAGACCCCACCTGCACTGCTGCATCCAGCTCTGGGCTCCTCAGCAGAAGGAAGATGTGAACC